GATTGTATATCATTCGTATGAAGTAGCCTTAACATTGCTGAAAATAATCCTTTGCTTGATTTGGCGACCACCGTATCCGGATTTGCCTGTCACTCTGACCTCCCTGGGGACCGTCACAGGACGCCTGCGTTACAGAGGGCCATGGGTGGCTTGCGCTGCACTACCCACAGTTCCACCCACATACCCATATCCGGCATAAACCCAAAGGAATAAGCCCGGAGGCATGTGAATGGGACCCACGTTTCATCAACGGAGACCAGACAACACTCCTACAACAAGCAGAACAGAAGCATTACGGCCTAATTTGGAAACTATGCACACCAGACTTAAACATGACGTCTGCTGGACCGTAGCCCGTCCCAAACAGGATAGAACCACTCTTTGATTATTGTACCTTAATGAGGACGGTGCGCCCCGTCCCCACCAGCAACGACCAACTGGATCCAGTATGGACGCAGTAGTGGGTTATAGACAGGTAGGCACCTTGTCGTCGGAAGGTGGTCCAGTGGTCTGCACGTTTACTTTGCAACCATTAGGTCACCGGTTCGAATCCGTGTAGGGGCGAGCTTCCTCGCGGTATACTCAGCCCTTGCGCGACTGGTGATGGTCGCGCGGCAGCGAAGCACTGCTACGGCGTACAGTTGACGCATTATTCTTTATTATTTATAGGCACCTTGTCAACATTCACATCAGGAGCAGCCACACAGGGGAGCTCAAGCAACATCTACTTCTGAAATGCAAAATTACTCATCACACAGGCTACCATACCACATACGCCGCCTTATTGGCCTGGATTGGTAAATCGAATGGGAGCGTACTCATGGTGCTTCTAATCCACCTGCAATAGTACATTCTCGTGCACTTGAGCAACCACCCTTTATAGCAGTCCACGGAATTCGCATTGCTAAAAATTAGACTTGGATTCGCAACACCTGTAATCAACATGAGTTTGTCATAAAATCACCTACTTCATGTTCTGATAATGTTATTTGTCGTAGAAAGTAGAAGTCACGATTAAAATTCACACACAATAATGTGCGTCGACGGCGAATCGAACGCCGGCCCAACGAATTTCCGGTCCGCTGCTCTACCACTGAGCTACCGAAGACTGACAATTGCGTACGCAATTAAATACATGACATATGCTTGGTGCGCGACGTTTTGCCAATGAACTCACAGTACCTGTCCTGGTGTTGCAGATTGGCTCACTCACCCGTCACTTCCCAATGGACCGAAGTATCTGTCCTTCAGATGTCCAAAAGGGCGATGGTATATTAGATTAATTGTGGATGTTTGTGAGCAGTGTAAAGTTCGTAGAAAGTAGAAGTCACGATTAAAATTCACACACAAAACCGCGCCCACCACTTTCGTGAAATCTTCTCGTCCTCTGAACGTCGGCAGGTATCTCAGTTACATTGATGTTTGTCGTTTGTGTTAAGATGCGCTCATCAAACCAACTTGAATCCGGTTTTACGTAGAGCAATTGATTTTGTTCGACCGTTCGGAATTCCTAAGCTGTCTAAGCGGTGGATGTAGACAATCGCTTCTTCCAACCTTTTGGTGGGTGCCGATTGATGGAATTGTACGGCACTCATGCTGTCCCATGGGCTACTTATTGGCTTCCAGTTTGAGAGTAGTTCGGATTAATTGGATCGCAAATGCAATGGGAACAATTGCGCTGCTACGTCATGATGCATTTTGACTGTAACAACGGCGACCTGCTGCAACGTTTCGCTGGGCACTTGGGAGTGCTTGGGAACCGACTCTAGATAATACGTTAGGTTACAGTTCAATATAAGATCGTCTATGGTTACGCTTGCCTCGGGTGCTTGCAGTAAGTAGCTGTACAATTTTTGTGAACTGTTATGCCCTTCCACGCTGCAGTCTTTCAGCACACGAACACCCCAAGGGACATATTTGGGAAGACGATAATCGTGAGCTATGCAGGTTTATTCCATACAGCCAAACGGAATTAAGTCAGTTGTGCACAATACGTAGACGGCTTAACTGGGCTTGGTATATTGTCCAATATGAGGCGCTATCTGACTGAATGATTCGAACTATGTAATATTCCCCGGAAATGGCTGGATACACAAATGTATCTGGATGTTATCTTTGTCTGGTAAGACTAGCAAGTGTCTTGGGGGGAGGCCGGCTGTCAGTTCACATCGCTCATAGTATTCCGATATATTGCATTTGCAAAATTCTGAATCTGTATATTGCGTATTAACTAGACGAAAAACAGAGGCGCTCCACCCATTCTCTTCTTTATCGCATATAAACATGTCTGGGGTCGGCACATAAGCTGACGTCTGATTACTTTTGAAGAAACATCTGAGCGTGACATTCTTTGGTGGTCTGTGACCGATCATCACCGCCGTCTTCCCAATCGTTACGTTAGTGCATCCCAGAATGTGCAATACTGCAATCCGCTGCGTGTGTGTAGTATCTTGCCAAGTGCTGGTAATCCCAACAAGCTCGTGCCTGGTTTCGCGGGTGGTGGTGGCAAGGTGCACTTCAAATCTCCTGATAAATACACGCTTGAGCTGCACTTCAGTGGATATTCATTTCCAGTGTTAGTTGCTGAGATGTGCACAACCCTGTAATTTTCGGAGACCGGCTTAACACGAACATAATTTCACTAACCGAAGCACTGAAAGATCCTCAGTCCGAAGATTTGGATGGCGTTGTAATAGGAAATTTGGTCCACCCGTAAAGGCAGAGGAAGGTGAATACACTATCAATTACATTGCATTTCTGGGTTTCCCGAAAGGGGAGACGACGGTGTGGACAGTGTCCCAGTGGGAACAATGTGCGATCATTTTCGATTGCACTTGTTTATTTAAGGAACATTTAGAATATAAGGGAAGCTTACCTCATTTACGAAATTTACCACATTACTTTTTCTTCGCTAGACCGCCAACCGTGTGTATATCTAGCACACATATATATGTAGTTCGTTCATAATTCCATCTAACGAACAAAAAGTAATGTGGTAAATTTTCTAAATTGGGTAAGCTTCCTTTATATTCTTAGGGTTCCTTAAATAAACAAGTGCAATTGGAAATGATCACACTTTTTCCCATTGGGACAGTGTCCACACCGTCGTCTCACCTTCCGGGAAATCCAGAAATGCAATGTAATTGATACTGTACTCACCTTCGTCTACGTTCACGGTTGGACCAACTTTTCCTAGAACAACGGCATCCAAATCTTCGGACTGAGGATTTTTAAGTGCTTCGGTTAGTGAAACGATGTTAGTGTTAATCTGGTCTCCGAAAATTACAGGGTTGAAACGCACGTAAGACTTGATGAAAGTCGTGTTGAACTTCTCTAGTCGACCACTGGATTGTGTGACCGCGAAACAGAACACAGTTAAAATAAGTATTTCCAACGTCATCCAGACTAGCGGGATTTTCCTTAATTTGTATGGCAATGTAGCATCAGCTTGTTTGAACTAGCTACGATCGATTTTCTGGTCGAAGCGTAGATCACTTTTGTTAGACGAGATGCGAGTATTGGTAAGTAGATTAACGCTATCGTTTGGAAGGCGACCGAGTCAGCCTCGTGTACTGCTGAAGCTGGTGGTTTAATTACAGACGAAAACCTGTGTGGTGCGTTGCACAGTTCTTAAGGATACATTATGTGTTAACACGAATCGGTAGTTAAGGATGAACAGCTGAATAGGAGAGCAGTAGGCTCTGTGTGTAATCTTTCTCAATCATATGATGCAGTTAGCCGATGTAAATAAGTGTGCATCAGACCAATACAGGCATGTCCGCATGGTTGGGAATAAACGTTTATTTATTTCTAAGTTATCATTGTTCTTTGGAATGTGCACGGTATTCTTGCAAATATTTGGACGTTTCACACAGAATTTTCCCTTCACAAACTTCAAAATAGCAAGAAGCACTGCATTTTCATAGAATAATCTAAATTCAGATATTTCGCATCTTCTCATCAGCTGTGTACAGACAATCAGTTGAATCAGTATGCTTATGAGAAGACGCGAATTATTTGAACTCAGATTATTCTGTTGATATATTGTCTTTTCTTACTATTTTGAAGTAATTTGACATGGTCAAAATACTTAGCAATTCACTTGCTAGAAAGTGGGTTGCGTGTAATGACAGGCTCTTATTTCGTTTTGTCACGCGCGCCAATTCTTGCCTCAGAATTGGCATCTGTCGCTAAACTATATGAAGTTGATTCATTGGTGCACATTCAGCGCTGCTCATGCCTGAAGTGCAGATGTCAATCGGACTGTTGCTCAGCTATGGCTTCATGTTTGGGCACCATGCAAGATTTGCACTAGTGTACTCAAGCTTACTGACGTCAAATGTCTGATGATTTGCTGAAATCCGCGCAATCCAAAAAGTTTGGTATCCTGCTCATGTGCGAGCTCGATACCTTTCTTCTACAGCAGTGATGGCGCCTAATTCAATGACATTTAGTACCCTCAATGTGAAATATTTTCATCCTTTATTCTCTGTATGCAGTGTCATCATAACTGCTAGTCAAACAAGTTAGGTGAACAACCGGCGCTGGTGGAGAATCATTGAGTGGCATGCACCAGTTTGACGCGGCTGAATGTGAAATAGCCATCGACCAAACAGTATGTATATGTCTGGGGCAGCAGCATACCCAATGAACTATGGACAATGTGAATCTGAGGCATTGGTTTACGATGGTCCCAGCCACTGTGCACTATCCCTAAATGTGTCAAAATAGGTGATCAGCATGTAGATCCTTTGAACAATACAGTTTGGGTCCAAAAGTTTTAATTTTCCGCAAATTACCAACCTCTCATTTGAAACATGCCACACAGATATGGCAGCTTCGGTACAAGCACAGTCTCGTCCTACTTCCGATCTCACAGTGAAGGGTGAAAGGAGATAAACGTCGGGCGCTCTTCTCACGTTCACGTGTATGGAATGTTAGCAAGACTGGCAACTGCATAAAGTACTGTACTAATTGTAACCAAAAGAAGCTTGTCAGTGTGAACAACCCATTGTGTCCCGTGTTATTTACAGTCGAAATGACAGTTGGTGAATGTGTCTTATTAGTAAGAAGGTAGGATTGACTAATTGCCTTGACGTAATACTACGGCGAGTATCTTTAATTTCACCTGCTTACGACCATTAGCATTCAACCAACCAGCCCCCAGCATCGGTGTCAGTTCTCTATTCATGAGAAAACAGAACCGGTTTTTGATTATGAGTAAACGTTTTCCACCACACATTTTCAATACTCCAAATCTATCTTCCTTTTTGTAATAGATTAACTGGCCCTTATACGTTAGTCAAGCAGGACAGATGCGCAAAGATGAATAAGGCTACATAGAGTACCCTTAGACTAAGTCTGTTGAAAAAGCCCATAGCTGTTGTGGATGGAATAGTATAACCTACCGCGTTGGATACTAGGCTGGTCCCTCGCAGCGTTTATCCAAGGAAAAGGAGAGTACCGCTGATGAACGCATTTGTGCGTTCTGCGGTCGCAAATGGCAGGTTATGCGAGCGAAACTGAAGCGCAGCCACTGGGCTGGAAACGCAATCACTGACACCAGTGCAACATGATCACAATACCACAGACCGGTGGACAGTGAGAAACCCATTTCGGGCGCTGTGAATGAAGCAAAGTTTTTATCCCGCACAGTTCAATATATTTGCGTGTTCGCCACACTGCTACAGAATGGGAGGCGCATGTCCCGTTAACAGCTGATCGCCGTGTAAGCAGAACGGACGGAGTTAAATGGTGGATAGATAACACTGTGCGACAAAAAATCTTTATTTTCTTTAACAGTAATACCAATGTCCTAACCTTAGTGAATATCACTGATGGTAGAAAAATAGTTCGTTTTTATCTAACACGTATGCTTGCATGGTTAAAAGCAAGCAATGTCAAGGCTGCTTCATACGAATGATATATAATTCTACTGAAGCACAAACTATACAGAACGCCTCTTTGCAGCCGTTAGGTTTAAAGCATCACTGCGCTACTCGGCGCTAACTATGACTGCAGATTAGCACTGGAAAATGATGGCTTCGCCGAGATCGTCGCTCGTATGATCCAGCGCCCTCACACTGAATAAACCAGCAAAAGTCACCCATCATAGAAGGCGTGTACCTGTCACCGCAGCGTTACTCCAGGAGTGAAATGTCTTGGTGGAAGCGCTCACCATGCTTATCGCTAACATATCCCACGTTCTCAGTGAAAAATCAAGGTGATTATGCAATAGGTGCACTATGAGTGAGGTTCGAGCGCCAACATCCGGATAGTCCGCAATGAACCTTTTTGTGATGTCTTCGTAGTTCTCTGCCATTGTGCTGCCCAAGCATTCTTTACCCACTGCCTTGAATGATCCCTACACTTCAAATTCAAAGGTATTTAAATAATATTCGAAGCCACTGTATGCCATTCTCCGGCGAATATCCGGCTCAATAAGTATTCCTTCTTTGAGGTTCGCGTCACTGATGTTCGGAAACACTTGTTTCAGGAACTGGAACGTAAAACCATCTCGCATGATGGCTTTGACGAAATGTTTAATCAAACCAAGGTTAATGTGCAGGGGTGCTAGATATATTTCGTCGTGTTCCAAATCTTTTCTTTGGTGTTGCTATTGTTTCGCTTATACTACTCACCCTTCTATCTAATACTCATTGACACAGCCATGTGCTCTTCCATCTGGTTGGTTGCAATACTAACGTCTGTCGATTTGATTGTAAGGCTTATATATGCACACAGTTTCCCATACATACATTCCGGTGCCGCATTGGTCTGTTGCTTTTGCGTGGAATAACAAATTGTCGTCACAGGTTACCGATATATTTGCATGCTACTGTTCTTGCGCCGTTCTGGACTGACCCTGCGGTTACCCCAAATGCAGAATGCTGGGAAGACTGGAAAATTAAGCTTTCAGCTTATGTTTCTCTGCCGCCAGTACTTAATCCATCCTTGACACTGAAAACGGAGGATAATTTCAAGCTTTCTCGCTTGCACCTCGGTTCAGACGGTGGACGTATAGCTGAGGCTCTAAATCTGTCGGAGAAACCCACATTAACAGTTGCCTTATGGACCCTCGATAAACTTTGGAGTTTTCCAGTGTGAACACTTATATTCTCAGTGAAGTTTTGGTAGCAGATGCAAGCATTTTGTGAATCAGTGGATGCTTTCATTGTCCTAATTTATTCTGATCGGAAGTGTGAATATAATAGTATTCCCAAAAAGAAATAGGAAGAAACTTTACTTATGCAATAATTGATTCCTGGCCTTCCGGTATCTCGGATCAGAGGGAGTCTCTTAATGGAAAACGCAGAGATTCTCATTTGGGACAGGGTCTGCGACGTGGTTCGCGCGAAGGCCGCAGACACGGACAGAACAAAATATTCCTATCAAACGCAGTGCATACTGAAATTGACCGTTTGGATTCTACGCACTCTCTGCGCCATCCTCAATTGGAAATAAGTGTTATCGTTGTGGAAATGCTGAACACCGGGCAAATGAGCTATGATTTATGCCGGATAACATAACAGTTGCTTGACAAGTCCTGTATGCTGGTGGGGTAAAACGATAATATCAAATGACGTGTACGTTTCCCTTATGAACGTTTATCTAGCAAATACACTGGTAAATTATGATAGTGTAAATGCCAATTGTATGCGAACAACGAGGCAACATGGGGACAGTTATATTTGATGTACTCCGTGCGAAAATTAAAAAGTAATATACTCACTTCTCTATCGCCTTCTCAGGTTTATGTGACATGTTAATCCGGTTTAAGGGGATAATTAGTATACCCCAAATAGCACAGTTTATGCAACAAATTGATGGGGGTCAAAGACAAGATCCAAGGTGGGGGAGGCAACAACTAGTTTTTTGGATTGCTACATGGTTAGGAAAACCGAGGAGAAATATAATTCCACTGGCATTCCAGGCGGCTATACTCTGCACACAATTTCAGAGGGTAACTTCTGAGATTGGTGTTATGGCTGGGTTTCAGCAAGTGTCGGCATACGTGAGTACTGTCACACAATATTTGGTGGTCTAATGTGAGATCGCCTCGCAGCATTCGGTAGCGGCTAGTGAAGACTCCCAGTAAGTTTAGTCTTTGAGTGTAGGAAAAATTTCGTAGGCTCTTGACGTCCTTTGTGACTCAGCGTTGTGGTATCGCTAGCACTTCTAAGTCACGCTTCAACCAGAGTTGCCATGATTGGTTGGCGTATTCAACTTGAGGGCGAACGTAAAGATGGTGCATCATGGGGAAGAATGATTGGTCTAATCTTCCGAATGCACTCCGCAGCAAGCCGACGTGCTTGTTGGTTCTCTTCGCAGCTGCCTCATACTGAGTTGAACAGTTAAGGTCACTTTGAATGAGCACACCAAGGTCGCGTACTTGGGAAG